CACACACACACACACACACACACACACACACACACACACACACACAAACACGCGCACACACACACACGTTAAGTTGTTAAGCTCAGTTATTTGGTAGGATTAGGGATGTAGAATGGTCATGCAGAACATGTGCTGTATAAGTACTAATAAACAGCCAATATGTTAATAACAGGCATGCTAATAAGCAACTAGTTAATAGTGAGAAATGGTCCCTATACTAAAGTGTTGCCTACAAAAGTGATAATGTGAGGAGCTGAGGACTCACCCTGAAATAAGACGCCACTGTCTGTCTCCTCATGTTAGTGGTTTCCTCTGGGTGACGCATCATTTCCATGGTGTCCACCTAAACACACACATAAACACACTTACTGTAGCTTAGTGCACATGCAGAAAATACACACATCACCAATACACACATATGTACACACACATACAATGAACGCTACTATTCTGTTTTAGACTAAATGAACATGTAACCTTCATGTTCATGTATGACAGATGTTAACACAATCACACACAATTTCCTCAACTAGATTATCGGGAAAAAAAACACATTAAACACTAAAGAGAGATTTTTTAATGACAAAACAAGTACTATAGACTATAGGTACAGTATTAGTCAAGTTAAACATCTAAAAGTAAAAGTCTTATATTAAAAAAATCTCTAACACACTCTAATGGCAATTTGTAATCATAACTACTTTAAGATTTGGTGGCTAATTTGTATACATTTTGTATTGGGTGGAACTTTTTTATTTGTATCTTTTTTCTCTCTCTAAAAACAGCATGTATCTGTACATACAAACTGCATCATACAAATTCATTCAAAAGTACCACTTTATAAAACAGTTATGTTTTCTAATGAGATCGAGTTGGTTTCACAGTTTTATCAATTAGCACACTCGTAAAATCATAGCTTGTGAGGCTATTATTACAGATATCTATAAGCATATTTGTTTGACGTTTAGCAATGCATTTTGCAATACAGTTATTTTCCCGTTTATTTTTGTAAAGCTGCTTAGAAAAAAATCTGTATTGTATAAAGCGCTATACAAATAAATGTGACGACTTCACAGCATATTAAATAACACTTTCCAATGCAGTCCCATTAGTTCAAATTAGTTCATGCATCAACTAACATAAACTAACAATAAGCAATACTGTTACAGATTTTTTCATCTTTGTTAATGCTAGTAAACAACTGTTTATTGTCAGTTCATGCTATCCCAGGTCCAGTAAATAATAAAAACAGATATAATTTATAACTTATATTTAACTACGATTAAGAAATGCTTTAGAAGTATTTTTGGTAACACTTTATTTTGTCGCATATACTTACAATAAATTATGCATAATTACATGCAAGTAACCCTAAGCCAAACCGTAACATTATAGTAAGTACATGTAGTTCATTAATATTACTCAGTACTTAAATGTATAGTTACACTGTAACAAGAACACCTTAAAATAAAGTGTAACAATATTTTGTTATTGTTAGTTCATGTTGACTAATGTAGTTAACTAAAGTTAACAAAGTGAACCTTATTGTAAAGTGTTTTTGTTTAAATCTACTACTATATAATGCCATTAATGACAATGATCAATTCATATTTATGTAAAGATTCAAAACAAGCACTTCAAACATCATGATCCAAGCACGATGGGTTGAATACTGCAGGGACGTGTTTTCATAATGAACTTCAGGCTTCCAGCTGTTCTTAACAAGGACAAGATATGATGTGTATAACAGCCATCGCTACAACAGACCTCATGAATTTATCAAGGTGATACATAATTTAGAGCAGGTCTATACCAGCAAAGTGTGTCTTCGTATTCTACTTCATCTGCGTGTGCAGAGGCAGGTGTGAGTGATCTTTATGAGAAACTGAAGGGTTGGACATGCACCCTGACTGAGAGACAATCGAACTAACCCAGTGTTTTAATAAGACATCTGTCCCACTTCGGCTCACAAGCAGAACTCTGTAAAGCGTCTCATCTGTGACCGAAGCAGTTTAAAAGTACCTGCAATATTAACTGCAACCAATTAACTGGGTTCTGTGCTCCGGTGTCTAATTATATTTCTCTGATACAGCAGAGGTTTTAATCTTACACACAGAACAGAGGACAAGGGAGAAATAATTATCCAGGGTTTTCCTTCACAAGAGCAGCAACTCAGCACTGTAGTCAGGATACATTACCACAGCAAATCCAGCTTTATGAAGTCCTCCATAGTCCTCAGTCTGTGCTAGACCTAAAGAAATGTAAACCTCACCTGGGGCTCTGCTATTACTAAAGGGCTTTATAGTGGAAACAATCTAATTCCTACACTTTTGAAACACTTTTCAAAAATATTTACAGTGAAACGGCAAGTAACACATTTTTTCATTAAAATTTTCATGTTTATTCAATATGTTACTTGCCATTTCCGTGTAATTATTTGTGAAATTTGCTAGAAATTTATGAGTGAAAATTGTTTCAAGGATATTTTTTTTTTTTCAGTAAAACATCGCTTTATTTAATACTTTGGTAAATATATTTTTATAGTATATGTACAGTACAACATTTCTATTGCTAGTCAGTGGCAGGTGGAATTAGGGGAGGCACAATCTCAATTTAGAGATTTGAATGGACAAAAAAAGTTGTATTGCAAGTAAGAACAATCAATATTTTTGTTCCACTTTCCTATAAAAGAGATGCTGCAAATTTGAAATGCCTATATCTACTAAAAGTACATTTTGTAAATTTGTAGATATACATTAACCGTCTTAGACGTTTTAAATCTAAAAGACACGAACAAAAAGATATACAAAATTCCAGTTTTGATTTCTTGGGATTGTTAGGATCAGAGAGAGGGTGGAAAATAGACACTAAAATCTAAATTATGACTGTTTTGGTAAAAAAAATAAAAAAAAACATAATTAGCATTATAAGTGGACTTTAAATAGAATAAAAAACATAGGATGTCGCTCTTTTAAAGCTGCTTCTCAAATGAAATTGATTCATAGTCTAAGGATTATTAAATACAAGGATATTCTAAGTTTTGTTCCATTAGCTCACAGACTAAATCAAACCAGAAAGAGAAAATAAAGTAGTGAAAATTGCATTAGAATATATGAGGCTAGTGAATATGAAGACAGATATGAAGAGATTCTTACCTTTAGCAGGTATTTAGGAGACTGAGAGGAGAGATGATAGTTCAGACAGATAATAGATAAAAAGTGCGGAAGAGTGAAGAACAGAGGTATTTTACAATGAAAAGCATGCAAACAGGAGTTCAGAGGTTCTGGAGTAAAAACACTGGCAAAATAATAACATCAGGAGCTTCACCGGTTGAAATATATAAGCGTTGAGTTTACATCAAATCTGCACCTTTACTGAACAGATAAAACTGTACAAAAATCAGAAAAGAAACTGAATTATGTGATAATTCGTGTTCATTTTCATCTGAAACGAACATAAAAATGAATAAGATATTTTTGTGATGACTGTCTGACTGTAAAGAAGACAGCACAGACCTTATTTCTCCCGCTGCTGAGCTGCGGAGGCAGAGATCTGGATGCTGCTGTCACTCTTGCCCTGGATGTGGCCAGGTTACCTGCTCAGCGAAAGAAGAAACACAGATCAGTGACACATCAATCTTCCCTCTCTGAGGCACAAATGAATAAAACAACATAGTGATGTAGTGCTCTGAGCTTGCAACCCAAAGAATGCATGTTTGAACCCTGGAGGAGATCAGCCAAAAGACTAGTCTAGACTATAAATCATATAGTTAATTAATATTACTCAGTACTTAAATGTATAGTTACACTGTAACAAGAACACCTTAAAATAAAGTGTAACAATATTTTGTTATTGTTAGTTCATGTTGACTAATGTAGTTAACTAAAGTTAACAAAGTGAACCTTATTGTAAAGTGTTTTTGTTTAAATCTACTACTATATAATGCCATTAATGACAATGATCAATTCATATTTATGTAAAGATTCAAAACAAGCACTTCAAACATCATGATCCAAGCACGATGGGTTGAATACTGCAGGGACGTGTTTTCATAATGAACTTCAGGCTTCCAGCTGTTCTTAACAAGGACAAGATATGATGTGTATAACAGCCATCGCTACAACAGACCTCATGAATTTATCAAGGTGATACATAATTTAGAGCAGGTCTATACCAGCAAAGTGTGTCTTCGTATTCTACTTCATCTGCGTGTGCAGAGGCAGGTGTGAGTGATCTTTATGAGAAACTGAAGGGTTGGACATGCACCCTGACTGAGAGACAATCGAACTAACCCAGTGTTTTAATAAGACATCTGTCCCACTTCGGCTCACAAGCAGAACTCTGTAAAGCGTCTCATCTGTGACCGAAGCAGTTTAAAAGTACCTGCAATATTAACTGCAACCAATTAACTGGGTTCTGTGCTCCGGTGTCTAATTATATTTCTCTGATACAGCAGAGGTTTTAATCTTACACACAGAACAGAGGACAAGGGAGAAATAATTATCCAGGGTTTTCCTTCACAAGAGCAGCAACTCAGCACTGTAGTCAGGATACATTACCACAGCAAATCCAGCTTTATGAAGTCCTCCATAGTCCTCAGTCTGTGCTAGACCTAAAGAAATGTAAACCTCACCTGGGGCTCTGCTATTACTAAAGGGCTTTATAGTGGAAACAATCTAATTCCTACACTTTTGAAACACTTTTCAAAAATATTTACAGTGAAACGGCAAGTAACACATTTTTTCATTAAAATTTTCATGTTTATTCAATATGTTACTTGCCATTTCCGTGTAATTATTTGTGAAATTTGCTAGAAATTTATGAGTGAAAATTGTTTCAAGGATATTTTTTTTTTTTCAGTAAAACATCGCTTTATTTAATACTTTGGTAAATATATTTTTATAGTATATGTACAGTACAACATTTCTATTGCTAGTCAGTGGCAGGTGGAATTAGGGGAGGCACAATCTCAATTTAGAGATTTGAATGGACAAAAAAAGTTGTATTGCAAGTAAGAACAATCAATATTTTTGTTCCACTTTCCTATAAAAGAGATGCTGCAAATTTGAAATGCCTATATCTACTAAAAGTACATTTTGTAAATTTGTAGATATACATTAACCGTCTTAGACGTTTTAAATCTAAAAGACACGAACAAAAAGATATACAAAATTCCAGTTTTGATTTCTTGGGATTGTTAGGATCAGAGAGAGGGTGGAAAATAGACACTAAAATCTAAATTATGACTGTTTTGGTAAAAAAAATAAAAAAAAACATAATTAGCATTATAAGTGGACTTTAAATAGAATAAAATACATAGGATGTCGCTCTTTTAAAGCTGCTTCTCAAATGAAATTGATTCATAGTCTAAGGATTATTAAATACAAGGATATTCTAAGTTTTGTTCCATTAGCTCACAGACTAAATCAAACCAGAAAGAGAAAATAAAGTAGTGAAAATTGCATTAGAATATATGAGGCTAGTGAATATGAAGACAGATATGAAGAGATTCTTACCTTTAGCAGGTATTTAGGAGACTGAGAGGAGAGATGATAGTTCAGACAGATAATAGATAAAAAGTGCGGAAGAGTGAAGAACAGAGGTATTTTACAATGAAAAGCATGCAAACAGGAGTTCAGAGGTTCTGGAGTAAAAACACTGGCAAAATAATAACATCAGGAGCTTCACCGGTTGAAATATATAAGCGTTGAGTTTACATCAAATCTGCACCTTTACTGAACAGATAAAACTGTACAAAAATCAGAAAAGAAACTGAATTATGTGATAATTCGTGTTCATTTTCATCTGAAACGAACATAAAAATGAATAAGATATTTTTGTGATGACTGTCTGACTGTAAAGAAGACAGCACAGACCTTATTTCTCCCGCTGCTGAGCTGCGGAGGCAGAGATCTGGATGCTGCTGTCACTCTTGCCCTGGATGTGGCCAGGTTACCTGCTCAGCGAAAGAAGAAACACAGATCAGTGACACATCAATCTTCCCTCTCTGAGGCACAAATGAATAAAACAACATAGTGATGTAGTGCTCTGAGCTTGCAACCCAAAGAATGCATGTTTGAACCCTGGAGGAGATCAGCCAAAAGACTAGTCTAGACTATAAATACAAAGACTACAATCTTGATCCTTGATGCCAGATTGCTCTACCCTTAGGAACAGTGTCTGCAAAAATACCACAGATATAGCCAGTTATCAAACTCTTATTGCTTTCAAAATCAATGCAACATTTAGAATTTCTTTTTTTTTTTTTATGGCACTTGTATTGTACTTCAAATACTATTTAAAATAAATTCACTTGCAGATAATATAATATTGATGAAATAAAAGGCCATAAGTGCACTTAAAGCATACTTTCATGACTGTGTCTTAACACACTTAAGTATACTTTTAAAGTGCCCTATATGTGTGCATATATATATATATATATATATATATATAATGTCAAATTAAACTTTAAAACTTTATTTTACTTTAAAATACTTTTTTAAATCATTATGTTTTAAGAATCTTTTTTCAGGCTTTAAAGGGGTCCTATTATGCTTTTTCACTTTTTTAATTTTAGTCAGTGTGTAGTGTGTATGTTTGGGCATAAAAAAGATCTAGAAAGTTACAAATCTCAAAGTCCACTCCAAAGGGAGATATTTCGTTTAAAAAAAATCCCTTTTCAAGAACTACAACGAACGGCTTGTTTGGACTACAGCCTTTGGTTTCCGGGCTTTGTGATATCACAAAGCGGCTCATTAGAATATCATTAAAATAATTCCCGCCTACAGAAATTCGAATGGTTGGGGGGTGGGGAGGGGCGAGGTTGTGGTTAGAACGCTTGGTTAAGTGAGTGCATGAGACGAGACGACGAAGAAGAAGTGCTGCTGCAGAGTTAGTGCATCAGAGAAAACCAAGAAGAAGAGCTGCTGTGCTGTAGCGTCAAATTTTCAGCATGTCTAGAACAATTCTTACAAGTATAACACGACGTAGCTGGGCGCCGCGGACAGACGCCGAACGGCGCCGCCGGTGTGCTACACTCATAGAAAATAAAGTATTTGAATTTTAAAGATGTGGCGCGACGCGACGCTGCGCTTCTCGTCCGGTGCGCCACCGCCTGAAATGTGTTTTTTTTCACCATCTGAGCATTATAACCCCAATTTGCTATTGTGTGCTGCGCATTTTACTGAGGACAGCTTCCACA